GGGGGGGGGTTAACAGCTGGATGGGGCAGGGGTCACGCTGGGCCCTGCACAAGATTCAGGGGTGCAGCGTTGCTGCTCATCCATTTAGCTGCTGGGAGCCTGCTTCACAGCCGGCCCTGGGGGAGGGAAGCTCTCCGCGGGGTACACGAGGACGGGCACAGCCGGGATTGCCCCCAGGCCGTGGTCCAGCTGCCCCCAGGGACCGGAGAACACGTGCAGGCAGATGTAGGTAACCACGATCTTGTCATAGCTGGAAAAATTGTTGTTTGCAGGGGATTGGGCACAAACACCCAAAAGCCTTGCAAGGAACAATTTTTTACAACTTAGCGGGTCTAGTAAGAGGGATCCCATTTACCCCAAGAACCTCATCTGTCTGCCTGTGTCCTTGCACCAACACCCCCACCCCACGCTCAGGCCAGGGTCCGTGCTGGGAGCAGGGACGCGTTGGGACAGCTGCAGGGATGTGCCAGCAGCACCTGGAAGTCAGCACAGCTCAGCCCGAGCCCATGGCTCACCGAGGGGCCCGTGACTACTCCCCCTGCCCCCTCCAAGCCCCCCAGAGTAGGGGCTGCCAGGGTCACTTCCACTCCCGCGGTTGGGAATGCTAAATCCCAGCGGCCAGCCGGGCCTTGCCTCCCACGCAGCACTGCAGCCGGGCCACGCGTGAAGCCGAGCAGCCGGCAGAGCTGGAACAGGCCTCTCCGCCAGGCAGGGCTGAGCGCCAGGTGGGGAAGCTCCCGTACCGCCTAGGGTCGGGTCCGAGCTGCCTGCCGCCCAAGGGCCACTTCCCCGGGGCCGGGAGCGGGGAGTCGGGGGCACAAGAAGCAGGGGAGTGCGAGCTCCACATGGGTATTTGTTTAATAACAAAACTCCAGCTATTGTAGAACAATAATCTCGGCAGCATCATTGTAATATACAATACAGGCCCCTTCTCAGGCGTCTGAGAAGCACACGGCTTCAGTGTTTTTCAAAAGAAAAAAAAGTCAGTGGGAGCGCGTGACCCCGGACAGAGAAGCCTCCACGTCTCCGCTGCCCCCGGGAGTGCCAGGGCTGCTGCCCGGCGTGGCGGTCCTGGGTCCCATCTCCGCCCGGGCTCAGCTCTGCTTGCCGGGGGGCTTCCCCTCGGGCGAGTCCAGCCGAGGGGTGGAGGAAGGGGGCACAGCACCTTCCAGGCCCCTTCCCCTGCCAGGGGAGACGAGGCAGCTAGTCCTCAGCACCACGAGTCCTCCCGGTCAGCGGCACAGGATGTGGTCGGCCGCGCTCACGCAGGTTGCCTGGGGGGCAGAGGGGCAAGACGGTCAGGCCCAGGTGCGGGGGG